CTTCAAACTTCCATGCCAAAGTGGTGAGAAGACCGAGGTCGGGCGGAGCTATACAAAAATGTTATGTCAACGCAGCTCTGAGGCCGACAGCACCGCTTTTCCTCTTTCCCCCTTTTCCTCTTTGCCCCCGTTCCCCCGTTCCCCTTTGCCCCGCTTTGATGGCAAGAAAACCTTTTTTCATTTCGTGTTTAATGAAAAATGTCAAATAAAAGTGCCCAAAACAGAGAACGTCAGCAAAGTGCAAAAAGCTTTGTGTAATAGTTTGCAGGTGAAAGGAGGCAGGAGGTGCAGAATGCCAATAAAAAGCAGCACACGGGGTGGCGGGGGACTCAACTCTTTTCGGCACACTAATTACTATTTATTCGAAACGAAAATTGCTAACGAGCAAAAGATATTACCAGGGCCATAATAATCAACAGGCAGCAGGGCGCTGAACATGGCCATCCCGACATCCAATAGAAGGAATTATTATTTTTTACGATTATTTAAATTACGCTGGAGCTGGAGCTGGAGCTGAAGAAGCCCAGGTAAGAACTGCTGGAATGTCGGTGCAATTTGCGAAAGGCAGCCACTTTGCAGCTCCATAGCTGCCTTCACTAATAGTTTTCATCAGCCGGCTGGCCACTCACAGTGGGCTACGTCCCGGATCAGTCCAACTCAAAGGCCTCTGACCGAGTAAAGCCTAATGCGCCCAAACTTCTCATGTTCGACCCACTGTACTGGGGGTAGGCAGTCAGAAGAAGCCTGCAGCTTTTAGTGCAATTGGCTGCCAGCTTGTTTAATGATCATTAAATACGAAGACGACACACGATGGACACAGAAGCCTTGGGTCGCAGGCGCAGTTTTGATTCAAACCGCTCTTGACCAGGCCCTAATAAATGAGAACAGGTAGTTCCTCCTCTTCCACCCGTCCCGAAAATCTCCACTCAACTCAAGGCGAGCTCAGCCCAGACTTGTTTTTTCCGCCGCCTCTGTTGCCCGGGGCCAAGTGCTTTGGACTCACTCTAATTAGTCAATTTTTTTACTCAATTAAATCTGCAAGGCGGCGAGCGAAGGAAGTGGGTCCGATGGGCAGAAGGGCAGAAGGGTAGATGGGCTGATGGGCCTGAAGACGCCGGCAGAAGAGCCACTCGAGTAAGCAAATGTGCAGTAATTAGTGGAGTCCCAGCGCATCTGTATAAACGTGCATACCCGCATAATTCCAGTTTGACTTGTCTCAGAAAACCTTGCTCCGTTGACGATAAATAATAATTTTTCCCCACCGCACTGACGGCACTGGCAATTTTCGCTGGCAGGCTGCAAGGATGACAGGTGCAGTGACAACCACACATGCACATGCAGATACAGATGCACGTTCTCACAGATACCGATACAGATACCGATACAGATACAGATGCACTCTCGGCTGCAAGTACAACAACTTACATGTCATACAAGTTGCCTCGTACATTTATAATCAAGCTGCGGCAACCGCAGAACTCAGGAACGCACGGCATGGCTGTTGTTGTTATTGATGTTGCAGTCGTTGTAGTTGTTGCAGCCACATGATGGAGCATCTTGGACGATGACGAAGGCCCAGTAGCATCCCGTGTTCATGCCGCTTGTATCTGCTAAATGAAAACATACACGGAAAGCCAACCAGCCAACCAGCCAACCAGCCCCTTTCTCCGATCCCCGGCTTCCTGGGCCAGCGGCTAGCAAAGAAATTGCAACAAACTGCACACTGGGATGCGATTAGAAAGTATCGAAATGTGCCAAAAAATTAACTAATTACTAATGGTGGCGAGAGGTATTAAAATGTGAAAGCATTCGATTACCGCCGAAAGTGGAAGGTGAAAGGAACAGCAGTTGGCGCAAATCAGAACCCATCGTTATTAATGATGTGTGAACTGGAGAGGGCAGGAATGGCTTGTGATTGGGCCAATGAGTTGGCTAAATAGTGTAATTAGAATGGAATCAATTAAGAGAATGGAATACCCCAGAATGACGGCAGCCAGAAAACAATTTGTATAGCATCAGATTTCCCAGTGGGTATGGCCGTGATGGCACAATATCATTTATTTTGCCGTAAGCATCGACAGCTCAGAACAATAGATTCGCTTACCTTTAAGTTGGATACTGAAATGGAATTTGCTTTAGACAATTTATTGCAATAGTTTGGTTATCTGGAGCGGTCTGAGTGAGGCACATGCTGCAAGGAAACTGAAACTGATTAGTTGGCTAATTTTCCAACTCAGGGTGGTAGTCAATATGAGGTTGGCCTAGTGCAAACACCTTCGGACCCCTGAGACCTCTTCCATGTGGACTTGCCCCACTGTGGCCATGGCAAAACATCCTCATCAATGTCGTTGTCCGTCCGTCGGCGAACAGAAGCAGCCACAGACCAGATCTGGGGCCACAGCCTCCCCTCCTGTAGAACCAACAGCCGAGCCATCTACAAATCGTGCAATGATGAAACCCATTGGACAAAGTCTTTGACTTGTATTCATTTTTTCCAGCTTTTCTTTCGCTCTTTCTCCCATTCTTTCTTTCCGCTTCTGTTGGCTCTTTTTTCCGTGCCGCGCGGCGCTTGGGAAGGCCTTTATATGCCTCATTCAGTTGCATCTTTTTGCGCTCTCATCAGATGGCGATGGTGGTAGAGGGGGGCTCTGTCCGTTTTGTCTGGGCTTTTTGTGTAAAAGCGACTAATGTGTCTACGGAAGCCATTTCGTGCCTTTTAGAACCAGTTGGCGGAGCCATCTTCGAGTTTGTGTTTGTTTTGCTTTTGGCGTAGTTAATTCGCCAAGTAATAATATTATACGAGCGACCGGGCGAAGTACTTGTGCTTATGAATGTCCTCTGGAGATGGTGCTGGAGATCCCCAGCCCGAAATGATCGATACTCGGGCAAGGAGGAGCTGTGTCGAGCACCACTTGTACTTATGAATGTCGTCTTGGTCTTGGGCAACATGCTGTGCAGCCTGGCGGAAGGAGGAACCTGCCGGACCTGCCCGACCTGCCTCCCTCCAGGCTAAATTGGCTTGAATTTTACGGCAGCAGCAGCGACGGCCAGAGCAGCAATCATGATGATGAGAACGATTGGCCTTGCCCGGGCTCGGCCTGTATTTAAGAGACATCATTCATCTGACCGCCCCATCAACGACAGTCGAAGTCTGCAGACTGCAAACTCTGCCTGGCAATGACGACCATGATGATGATAATGATGACGACAGCAATAATAATAACAAACAGCAAGAGCTACAGCAAAAACAGGGGTTCCCTGTTGCCCTGTGCTGTACACAGTACAAGTCCGCATAATTATAATCAACGTCATTTAACGTTGCCGGCCGTCACTCAGCGCCATCGAGCAGATGGAGCAAGAGGAGCCACATCAGGCTCATTGTTGTGTATCTTTCGGATACATTTTTGATAACAACGGTGGAGCGGAGGGTCGGCACAATAACTTTGTCGTTGGGAAGGAAGTGAAACATAAAAGTCACCTATAAATATACCATAGAAATCTGCTAGAATATTGCGCTCGTATCTTCGAGATACATTTGTCGAATGGCAGGAACTTCCTAAAATTACTTTTATTGGTCAACATTAGGAAGAGATTGTTATGGCGGGCTATATCTTGTTGAGATATTCAATTCTCCCAAGGGCGTATCGCATAAGATAATCAAAACGGTATTACTATCTGGAGAGTGAGCGTGAGTGAGGGCATTTTTTATTCGGCCTGGGGGAAAGCATTCTCTTCTCTAAAATCATGCTCCGTTTGGGGCCCTACAATTCTGTTTGTCGTCCTGGCGTTTGCGTTTGTTGACCTTTGTCAACTTCGAACACGCGACTAAGCACTTGGAATTAGCGCAAATACATTTTTGTATCCCAGCAATACACACGCACACAGCTACGGCGGTGTCTATGAGTTGTGTCGGGCCAGCGGAAGTTGGCTATTTATAACAAATTACCAAGCATTTGACATTTACCCAAAACGTCGACGTCAAATTAAAGATTTGTGTAAGGGAGTGTTAGCTGAACAGGGGGCGGCTGGGAGAGCACTTTTGGCATGTAATCAAATGTAACCGCACACCAAATATGCGCAGACAGCTGCGATGGCAACGGAGGAGGGCCTGGAGCGTAGGACCACTGGTGGTATACGGATGGACTAGACGTCGGCAATGCGCTTGCGGTTCGCTTGGCTAAGTCGCGGCGATTTAATACAATAAATCCCATTTCTCGCCCTAGTCTGGCCTCGCCCCACATGGCTTCCCAGCTAACTGAAGGCGGGCTACACGGCCGGACAGAGTTACGGACAAACGGACAAACGGACAAGCGGACAAACGGACAGCTATTTATCTCGGGTTCGGGTTCGGGTTCTGGGCGACCTGCTTCATTAAAATTATGACAAGCCGTAATTATCTTCGATTTGCTTTGGCCAAGCCAGCACGCACTAATTGCGAGCGAAGTGGAAGACGCTTGACATCGAAGAAGTTGAGCCGGAATTAGTCAAGCTAATACACAAATACACTGTTTCATTCCTAAATTGTAACGTTTTAAGTAAGTGCGAGAGATTATATTTGCCATCTTCCAGTTTGTGGGATTCCAGTTCTTACATCTCAGTTTTCAGTAGTTATCGCCGCGCGGAATTTAAGTTTTCCGCTCACTCGAGTACTCTGAACAATTGCGATTTCCGCCGTACATTGCAGTGAAAACTGCGTGACCAGGCTAATTAACGCTTCAAGGAAAATGTTGACGAACTCACGACCATCAACTTTGTTGTGATGTGTGGATAGACGGATGGATGAATGGATGTATGGATGTCTGCGCGGCTTGGGTAGACGAGTATCCGAGTAGCTGGGGATGTGTATCCCATAGATACCGGTTCATAATTTATGTAATTATATGCGTTTAAACATTGCAGCACGAAAGAAGAGGGCAGGAATCGAGTTCTTTCAACCATTATAGCCGACAACAAATTATAGCAATTATATAACATTTTTTCTCTTTCCTCCCAACTTTCAGGTTGCTTCCGCCGATCAGCCAGAGCTTAAGCTGTGTTCATCCGCGGCTTTGTTCGTGTGACAAGCGAAACTAATGAGCACAAATCGGAAGCAGGAAGCAGCAGCGAAAGTAAAACTGCTTAAGTAAATACTCGTAACTGTGATAAGACCAAAGGAAGCACAGCGATCACAAGTTGCGTAATTACGAGCCATCGTCCAGTGATTTTGCGCGCAATAAATGTCAACGTGGCAACAAGGAAAGTAATCACAACTATTTGCTAAACCCAAGCACCCAGCAAACAATCTCACAAAATGGCTTACCCACGGCTTCGGAAGGCAGTTGCGCCACCAGCAACACTCCAACTTGCCCCACCAGCACAAACAGCACAAAGCCCGGCAGCAACATTGCTGCGCAGCAGAAGAGCCTCAAGTTCAAGGCGGTCATCGTTAATCAGATGTTTTATATCCTGCCACACGTTCAGCTTGTTCCTGCTGCTCCTCCTTCTGGCCAGCGGAGTCCGGGCTGCCAGCAAGCTGGCCACTCGGAGCAACAAAACATCGGGCGCATCGGCAGCATCGGCAGCATCCGGAGTCGGAGCCGGCACTGCGGCAACTTCGGCGGCGGCGGCGGCGGCGTCAGGAACACCCATTTGGGATCACGCCATCGATTTGAATGAGGATTTTCGCATACTATGGCAAATCATTAATCAGGATATAACATTTGAAATACAGGCACGTACCCTGGGCTACGTCGGGTTCGGATTCTCGCCCGATGGCAATCTGGCTGGTGCCGATATGGCCATCGGCTGGGTGGACAAGGGTCAAACCTATTTTCAGGTAAGTGAAGCGCAAAATAAAAACCCAGCACAAGGAACATTTTCGAGGGGTAGATGGGGGTTCTGTGCGCCTAACGATTTTTCATGCCCCGCAGAAACGCTCTGCGATTTTTCCGATGCGTGTGGACGGAAATTAAGGGCAGTCCAGGCCGGCCAACTAAATGAAAAGTTGTCGCCGTAATATCATCCAATTTATTCTCACAAAGTCTCGTTCCCAGGGCAAACATTTTGCGCTGCCAGTGCGTTGATAAATATGTTGTATGAAAAGTACACAAGAAAAACATTTTGCCACTCAACTTGGATTGTAATTAATTTGTGGCAAAAACAAACAGTCACAGTCACAGTCCCACAAAAAAGGTGCGCGAAATGTATATATGTACAGGGGACGGCTTTGCCGGCCGCTTGAATAATGACAAACTCATTTGTGGCGTTGGACAGCAAAGTTTTTGTTGGCACTCCGTCCGCGCTTCCCTAGCTAATGGAATAGTTTTTAGTTCTGCGGTTGTTACTTGATTATATCACTTAATCTGGCCGCTCGGGAGTTATTGCCACATATTTATTGCCGAGTTATGTCATTTTCCCGGGACGTGCTCAGGAAAGTCGAGAAAATGAATGACGGTATTATACAAAGGTGTGACATCTAGTTACTGCGGTCACAATTCAGGCTTCTGTTTGAACTTCATTCCGATAGTAGCCAATAAAACGCAAATTTTCCTTGTTCATTTGTAAGACTTTGGCCAAGGTCCTGCGCCAAAGGAAGTGGCAGCATTTTCAGGGACACTATTGAAGTGGGTGACCCTCCAGGAAGAGTAATAGGAGTCGTCACTGCAAAGTGTCTAATGAAATGCGAGTATTGCGTGCTGTGGTTGCGTAGCTCTTCGTTTTCCTCTTCTTTTTCGTTTTTCCGTCTTTTTTTCACTTCTGGCCTGGCAGGATATGCGTGGGCGGGGAGGACGATGGGTGGTAGGCCAATTGTACGGCTGACACAAGCAGGGAAAGCTTTTTTCCTTCCCGTTGTTGCTGTGTGATTTAATGATTTTCGAGGCAGCCGACGCAAATGTCACCCACACACATAGTGATTGTTATTGTTGTTGAATGTTAAATACCAGCCAGATACATTAATATGTCTGTCTGCCGCCCCCGACCGGCCCCGCCCCCTGCTCGGTCTGCTTGTGTGACGGTGTTAATTTCACATCTTGACGTGTCGTTGGTAATTGCGAGTTGCTTCAAACTGTACATACAATATCGTATAATGGGACTCGTGACTGTCACATCACCACCCCGGTTTTTGTGGGTGTGGGTGGGGTCGAGCCTCGCTTTGACTTTTTGTAGAGGCGCCGATTTGTGGAGAGGTTAAAAGGTTAATTAGAGCTGAAATAGATATGCCGATTTAATATATTAATTAAGTGCCACAGGTGCCCAAGTGTGGGTGAGTGACAAAGGATACTGCGTCAAAGGACCAGGTCTAGTGTGCACTTGCCTCGGGCTCAGTGCTTTTGGCATGTTGTGTTTTTCCCCTTCCCTCGGCCCACAGAAGTTTATCGCCCTTAAGTTCTTAATTACAAGTGTCTGCTGACTGCTGGCCGCCTGCTAATTGAAACAAATTATGCAATTATGCATATTTCCGATATGAAAATATTTATGGCAATCAGAGCGGCTTCGTCGCCCACTAATTGTCTAATTTTTGGAATACTATTGTCGTCAGGATGGGTATGAAATATGAATAGGCATAGCCAGTACATTTTTATGTGGCGGGCATTTATGGAATTTTCATTTAAAATTCAACACACACCGAGAGAGTGAGAGCAGCACATTGACCATAAAATACTCGCTTCTAGAATTTGTTCAATTGACTTTAAGCAGATTCAGAGGGAATGGAATCCGGAGCCTCAAGCCTACGGGCGAATCGACATTGAGAGTCTCTCTGTCAAGAGTTTTTATCTTAAGTGTCAGCCCAAGGGCAAATATATAAGCATAAGCTTAAGTATTTTGGGCGGGAAGCCCAAATGGGGGGCCCAGATGGGGGATAAACGATGGAGCAGGCACTGACATAGTTCTCATTAGATTGAACAATGTGTGGGAATTTTCGCATTCAATTTGGGTTTCCTTTGGCTCGGTTTTTTGGGCAACTGCCATGTGCCTTGGCCTGGCATACTTAAAATGGTTTTTGGTGGCATGGTTATATCTTCTGCCATTATTATGATTATTTCGTGAGTCTGACAAAATCTCAAGTTTATTTTGGTTTTCGAAAGGCTTGTGGGAAAACTTTAAGCCAATTGAGTGAGATCTAAATTGAATATTATAAACTGTTGGGAAATATTTAGGGAGGCATAAAATATCAAGCGTGAGTAATAAACGTACCAGAATAAAATAAACAATTTGAAAATGCATCGAACGCCATACGAACTCAATCACATCAAAATATTTCATTTCCTAGCTGTAAACAAACGGCTCCGAAATTTGAAATGTATCTTACAGATAAGCACGCATCTAGCTGGCATTTTAAGCATTCCTAAGTCTTACCAACCGCTTACACACAGCTTTATTGGGATATCACTCAAGTGGGACAAATATTTGATAAGTTTCCCCGGCCACTCGGATTTCACCCAGAACTATCATCATTTATTGGCCAGTTGACTAGCATCTGAAGTTGACACTCCCACAGCGCCGACGACGACTATAAGTGTAACTCTGTAAGTCCGTTCTCGGAGTTCCCCTGCGAGCAGAAACTTTGCCCACTTTCATCCGCAGAGTAGGAGACGTAGAAGTCAGCCAAGTCACGCAAAGTCAAGCCAAGTCGGGTCAACTCTACTGAATTCAAGACGGGGACAGGCGGTAAATGGCCTCGGCGAATCCGCTTTAAAAGCTGACCTAATCAACAAGCCAAGAAGTGGATCTGAAGATGGGGATGCGGATGGGGTCCCGGCCTATTAGTCGCCCATTATTTTGTAGATACTTTTGCGATAAGCCCTTTGCCGTTGCCGCTGCCGCTGCGCCGAAAGAGCGACGATGATGATGATGATGCCACACCTAAAGAGAAATACTAATTTCGTGTAATTTATTTTCAACTTTTATTACACGCGCCCCGAGGAGCGGGAGTCTTATCAAAATTTTAATTAATACGCATCTGAGAAAAGTTTTGTGAAAACGGTTTCAACGCCGAGCTGTCGCTACTGCCGGCTGGCCAAGGCCGAAAGGGCCCAAAGCCAAGAGCCAAGAGCCAAAAGCTTCTCTGACGTTAATTAGTGCCATCCGAAGTGGCTGGCGACTTTGTTGCACTCGCTGGCGGTAGTGAACTACAACAAACAAGCCACAACAAGCCATTAGCTGTTTAGAGCAGCCAACAAAAACCAAGAAGCGATTAGTATCTTAAAAGTACTTAAAAGGTCGTTACCCTGGCCCCATCTAAATACGCAGCGAAACAAAACAAAAAATACGGCGAACTTGGCCACCGACTAATTATTTAATTTCAAGTTTTAAGCGTGCCCCAAGACTGTCAGTCACTCCGACTGTAGCTTACCCCTACGGGCACTCCACCCCGATCCCCAGTCTCGAAGAGACCCATTCCATTAAGCGCACAGATAACAGATCCATTATAGGAGAATTACGAGTGCGCAACATCAGCGGAGCGCCATCAACATCCCAGTCGTCGTCATCTTTTGCTAATGACCATCGATGCGATGTCGATGTTTTGTGCTTGTGCTTATGGCCAGCGCAGTACATCACTCAACCCGAAGGTTGGCCAAGAATTGACAGCGGCGGCGGGAAGGGCCGAGCTCTTGGTATCCAGCGTATCTGGTCGGTGTCCATCTGCTTATCTCATTTTCAAGTGGTTACGCTGCACAAAAATAAGGCGAACCGCACCGGTGCCGCAGCTTCATTACAAACTCATTAAAGTTGCTCGAAATGTAACAACAGTTTTGGCAACCTATTGACCCCATGCGTGCGCTCTTTTTCCCCAGATTTAGATGCGCGAGTATCTGGGAGTTACATTCCATTACCATCGACATTAGCATTGGCATTAGCGCGATGTTCTATTTGGTCGTACTGCGCTGTTAATTATCGGCGAATGATTAATTATGGCATTTCGGTCCAGTTCGAGCATCGCAAGATCTGCGGCTTGTTTGGGGTCCGGGTCCGGGTCCGGTTTGGAAAACCTCCCAGCTCTCCCTTTTGATTGGCATATGAGTAATGAGCTTTTTGTTCTGCGTTTTTTCCACTTTTCGTATTTCATTTTTTTGGTGCCTGACATGCGAACATCTTGGAGTGTTTTGAGTCATTTTTCTGCTTGTACTCGTACAATTTGTGTGTGAAATTGTTTTCTCCCTGCTCGTACCACAAATTCTAGCTGCTGCCCACACACACTCGTCATCGGTTCGTAGATAAATCTATCCCACAGCTTGCATGTCATCACTTCAGAGTTCAGATGCGGAGCTCTGTGTTTCGTTCTCAGCTTTTGTTACTCGCTTCTCGCTTTTCGCTTATTGTATTTGTTTGATTGGTCCGCTGGTGCTTTCATTACTTTCTCACAGATGTGGCTTGGTGGCGTGCTCACCGCTTAGAATTCAATTAGTTTTATAGACATTATCCAATTTGTTCCTCTTCCATTTGGATTCGTGGTTCTGGGAGTGTTGGCTGCGTGTTTCGCGGGAGTGCGAGCTTGTATCTATAACCGAAGCGATTCGCGTGCTGAGCTCAATGGCTCTACTGGATCACACTCTCTATTGTTCCTTAAAGCACTACTTCCAGTGGAGACACGCACACTCACAAAGTGCCTACGCACCCGTCGCTCCTTTATAAATCATAAATACATGCTGGCAAATTATATGGATGAGAATAAATAATAGTTGAAGTTTTTTATTACTGCTCTCCAGAGGCACAAATATTTTGTTATTTAATTCTGTGATATTTAGCCTCGACATTGCCTTGGGCTCTTTTATTGAGTGTGGGTGTGTAGCAAATTGCTTCAATTGCTATGGGGAGTTGAGGGGAATTTCGATT